CATCGAATAAACCCCCCCCCCCCCCCCTTGCTCCATTGGGTTTAGACTCTCTGCATTTCACTTCTGGCCCTGGTACTTTGCATGATTTGAATCAAGTAGGTATCTGTTATGGTGCTGAATAAATGAAACAATATCAGCTGTATTGCCCTCTGAAGTGCTCCCTTGGGGCTTCAACCAAACGCCTAACACTTTCCAAGACAGGAGAAGCTCTGTGCGCATGCGCAAAGACACCCATCTGGCTCCGTACGGCTTTCATGCACAAGGAGTAGAGGAAGAGAGGGCGGGGCGCTCTGCCCTTTGATTGCGGCTACAAGGACGGAAGTACGGGGTCAGCTCACAGGAAGTTCTTCATTGGGGCACTATGGCGGCTAGTAATGTGGAGAGAGGAGCGGGGAGTAAGGGATGGGTTCGTGGAATGTATCGCTTTATCACCGACAAAAATGACTTTCGCCGGTATGACTTACTGTGTATGAGTGTGTGCCGGGTCTGAACACGTGTGTGTGGCAGGATGGAGGACTGAGAATGATGCCCTCGTTTCTTCTTCTATCGGCAGGAATCTCCTCGTGAACCTCGGGCTGTTTGCCGCTGGTGTCTGGATGGCTAGAAACATGGCTGACATCGACTTGATGGCTCCGCAACCGGCCGTATAGAGGACGAGCGATTGCAGGTGAGGTTTTCTGGACCATGACACCATGAGGGTCCCATGTGTCCAGTTATTTGCACGGTACCCTGTGATTCAGGCTAGGTTCACACCTGGGTGGCTCATGACCGTGCGGCAATCGTGCACAAAAGCACGCGGTCATGGAGTCGCCCACCGCAGGCGATGGTATGTGATAAGCAAATCTAATAAGTATAACGATTGCTCTATACAGGAAATATATCACCATGTATGCTTTGGTATGATGCACCTGCTGTGCGTTGCACTGTGGCAGGTGTGTTGCCTTGCCATTCATTTGAATGGCACCACAATACATCGCAAGGCTGCAATTCACAGTACTGTGCTAGTGTGGCGGAAAAAAAAAAATATTTTTGTGCAATGCATGGTATTGCGGTACCACCCGCTGCGTTAGAGCACATTGTGGCTGGGAGGTGTGTTGGGGTGACCTTCAAATAAATGACAACACACTTGACATACTAATGCACAGTAGCATGTGTTAATGGCATGGTAGTGTGACAATTGCCACCCATAAGTGTGAATGGGCCCGGAGTGTTTTGTCGTGCCTTTCCCGAAGTGTATCAACGTTCACAAAGCTGACGCCTGGTGAAGGATCATTGATTTGGCTGTTTGACTAACCAAATCTCACTGGACTCTGCTGTCAATAGCAATCACGTTTTTCAGAACTGTTGTAATAGCTAACACTATATGCTAAAATCACTTCAAGTAATAATTACAATCTATACATTATGAACAGTGAGCGGGAAGAATGTCCCCCTTCCCCGATGGTGGCGGTCAGTGGGAAGAATGCCACCATTACAAACGGCATCAGTCTGGCTACTCTGCAAAGGAGTGCTGAGCTGGAAACACCCTCAGACCAGGGATGCCAGTACACCAATGCATTCTCTGGATGAGCTCCAGGGTTTCATACACGTCATATCTATACTACTATAAGGATCCCTAAAGAATCCCTAAAAAATAACCTTTGCAGTGGGGCTCCTCTGCACTGCAAGGGTTAAAGGAGAACTATGAGGTGAGCGCTTTTCACTCATCCTCATAGTTCTAGCCGACCTGTGACAATGAGACTGTCACAGGTCGGCTCAGTAGATCGGAAAGTGAGCGAACACATACTGGCGTTCGCTCACTTCTCGATCCTGTCATGGCTTTCTGCCGTGACAGGGGAGGGGCTGGATTCCCCGCTCCACCAGCGCTGACTGGTGGAACGGACGGGTGAGGGGGCGGGTACAGCTGGCTCTGCCTCTAGATAGGCAGAGCCAGCTGTCACTCAGCTGGGTGGATCCAGACATAATTGTCGGGATCCGCTTCAGCTGCGGCGTCTCAGTATACTGAGCTTAGGGTGATGGGAGAACGCTTGTTTGTGTCCTCCCGTTACCCTTGGGAGAACTAGGGGGGAAAACACTTACCCCATAGTTCTCCTTTAACTGATAATTGTCCCAGAGTTTCCCCTAATATGAAGCTCCCCATTTCCCATCCCAGCCTTTGGAGCACAGAGCATGGCACCCTTGCAGGCAGTTTGTCAGTTTGCTTTCCCATTCCACCTTTAGGAGAATGATCTCTAACACAACTACACTCTTGTACTAGTTCTGCTACATCTTTTACAAGGACTGATCTCTGGATTCACAATAATATCTAGTGTCGCCTGCATTTATTTCCTGTATAGAGCAATCGTTATACTTATTGGATTTGCTTATCACATACCATAACTCACATGGGTGTATTCCATGGCAATTGTAGGAAGGAAAAAAAAAAAAAATCTTCATACATGGTATTAAACATTTACTTGATTCACTGCAATTCTGATGGCCTTTTTTTTCCAGGTTATAGACCCTGATTCCTTTTGCAATTCCATGGGTATCAAGAAATGCCTTTGTGCATGGGCTGCCGGGATGGCAATGGTGAGATGGACTGGTTGTGCTTCTGGCAAAGTGGAACATCGGTGAAGACTTTGTCATATGTTTCAATTTTTTTTTTTTTTTTACTTCTAAAAGGGATTTACATACCCAGAACTGAATAAAAGATATGGAGATTATTTTTTTTTTAAAGCATTGTTAACTATACAGTCTAAAGTGTAAAACTGAATAAAATGTAACTTATTCCACATACTAACCAAGTTACTTGACTGTCCATGCTTGTTCGGAATATGTCTTTATTGTAACTATAATTAGACTGATTCCGTACCCAGAAAAGAGAATTTGAAGATGGAAAGTACAGCCAAAAATAGTACTAAAAATCACTTTTCTGTCACTGCAAAATGTAGTGGTTTTTGGAATGTGCTGATTATATCACAAGGTTGTCACTAGCTATTTCCTTTATAAAAGACCCAAACTTGGGTGTATAAAATGCCAGGACACTATTTTTTGGTGGTACAGTAATCACTTGTGTGACTTCCCTGTAACAAGGTACTGTATTTTTCGCTCCCATAAGACGCACTTTTTTCCCCCCAAAAGGAGGGGGAAAATGTGCCTGCGTCTTATGGAGCGAATCCCGACGCCCGAGACATGCAGTTTCGGGCGCCGGGCGAGTAGTAGGAGCCACTGCTCGTTTAATACGAGTGATCTAACGAGATCACTCGTATTAAAGCCGAGCGGTGGCGATCGTATTCAGCAGTAGGAGCCACTGCTCGTTTAATACGAGTGATCTAATGAGATCACTCATTAAAACCGAGCAGCGGCGACGATGGAGATCACCATAGAGCAGACGAAGAACGGACTTTCTTCGTCTGCTCTGTGTGATCACTGAGACCGTGGCGCTGTAATCACAGCGGCACCTGTCTCAGCGGTCACTAACTGCAGCTTCTGTCATAGAAGCTGTGTCAGAAGCTACAGTCTGTGGAGTGCGCCATAAGGCGCGCCGGACCTCCCTGCGTCCTATGGTCCGGTGCGTCTTATGGACCGCAAAATACGGTATATCACATGCTTAGGCTGGCATCTTCTTCCTGTATGAGATTGCAGCCTCCTGCTAATACAGCTTCTTAATGCTTTCGTTGCAAAGCCACTCAGACTTATCCTTGCTAGAGGTGGTTCTACCTTAAAGGAGAACTATGGGGCTAAGTCTTTTCCCCATAGTTCTCCTCAGGGTAACGGGAGGACACAAACTAGCGTCCTCCTGTCACCCTAGGCTCAGTATACCGCGAGCTCTAGCTCGCGGTATACTGAGACGCTGCAGTTGAAGCGGATCCTGACAATTATGCCGGGATGCGCCCAGCTGCGTGACTGACAGCTGGCTCTGCCTAGGTAGAGGCAGAGCCAGCTGTACCCGCCCCCTCCCCCGTCCGTTCCGCCAGTCAGCGCTGGCGGATCGGAGCGGGGAGAATCCAGCCCCTCCCCTGTCATAGCAGAGAGCCGTGACAGGATCGAGAGGTGAGTGAACGCCGGTATGTGTTCGCTCACATCCCGATCTACTGAGCCGACCTGTGACAGTCTCATTGTCACAGGTCGGCTAGAACTATGAGGCAAGTGAAAAGCACTCACCTCATAGTTCTTTAAATACATTGCACTCCTATCATCCTTGGTTATGACTTTAGGATTGCAGTCAGGTGAAAAAGTACACCCATGGAAATTGCCTGTTCAAATATGTTGTAAAGCAAGTCAAACATTCGGTCATCATTTATACTGCCTACAGATAAAGGTGATATATTTAAACAAAGGACACATAAAAATGTCATCTGATTTTTATAACCTAAATTAACAAACATGCACATGGAAAGAGTGATTTACGTGTCTACATTTACTACCATTTCAAATCCATGAAATTAGAATTGGTGTTCCCAATTACAGTACCTGGGTGCACCTGGGCCTGGCCAGGAAGGGGGTTTAACACCCCAGTCTACAAGTGGTTAAGGATGCATTCATTTTTGCCTTTTATATCTGCCTGAAGTTCAAAACTTTAACCTAACATTTTCTTCCATTAATTTGCGGCAATCCCTGTCTGTATGCCACTTAACTGGAGTTAACCCCTTCATGACTGATTCACCAGGAGTCTGTTTAAACAGCCCAGATGCTGGCGACGTACACTGTACGTCAGTCACAAAGGGGTTAAAGTAGAACTGAAGCCAAAACTTTTATTTTAGTTTTGGATAGAGTAAGGAGGTTTTTTTTTTTTTTTTTTTTCTTCGGCAGATTTACCTCTCACTTCCTGTCTGATAACCACAACATGAAGTAAAAGGAAATCCCATTGGAAGACTTCCCATCTATTTCTGTTCTGGTGACAACCCAATATTTGGCATTTTCTTTCACTTTCAGTGATAATGGTCTCCAATATTTTTAGGGAAAAAATACATTAAAATGAATTTTAGCGCGCACAAACAAAATAAAATACCCATTTTATTTGGAAGGTATTAAAGGTGGGGTCATGTCAAGTAGATACCAAACATGCCAAGTCTTAAAAATGCAACTGTGAAAAATCTATGGTACTATAAATTATCCATAGGCGACGCTTTAAAAGTCTTTACTGCTCAGCAAACTATTGCCCTAGTATTATTGCTCTCACTCCATCATCACAGTCATACCTAATGTGTGGCACAATTGCTGTTTATGTACACGTTCATGTCCTACAAGCGCATTTTGCATTTATAGGGGTGGCTGCTTTTCAATTTTTTTTTCACAGTTTAAAAAAAAAAAAGTACACTAAAATAAATATGTTCACGTAACTTTAACTTGCTATCACATGGGGGCTAAAACCCTCATAGACACGTACAAATGATCGGCAAACTCTACAGCAGCCCAGATCACTTGTATTTTGAAGTGCTCTGGCTGCTGAAAAAAAACAATACCAAGATCAGGGCTGTAGAAGTGGCACACTGGTTGAGAAAGGCTGTTCTAGCATTACACTAGTAATATACTGTATTAGGGTGCAACATTTATGAAGTGTGTGTGAAATGGGTCTTAAATTTCCATGTGAAATTTTACCATGGTAACATGCAGAAATTTTGGACAACTTGTATAACCAGTCTGGTTTTCAATTCAGTAAGGCTGGGTTCACACCTAGGCGTATCGAATATGCGCGTTTGTAGGGCTGCAAAATGCCCTACGCCCAAAGAAGTACAGGAGCTTCTTTGGGGCATATTTGCCATGCGTATCCATTGGGATACAGCCAGGTAGCCCTCGGAAACGCACGTTTGTCGCGCGGTAAAAAAACGCAAGACAAACGCTTGTTTCCGAGGGCTACCTGGCTGTATCCCAATGGATACGCATGGCAAATATGCCCCAAAGAAGCTCCTGTACTTCTTTGGGCGTTTTGCAGCACGTTCCTACGCGCTGTAAAACGCCCAGGTGGGAACCATGCCCATAGGCAATCATTGGTTTTCACATGTTTAGCGTTTTACAGAGCGTAGGAACGCGCTGTAAAACGCCCAGGTGTGAACCAGGCCTAACTGTTTGGGTGCACCAAGTCAAACCCCCTAAAGAATTAATTATGGATTGTCGTCTGTGAAGGTTCTTGAAAGAGTTAATAATCTGTATTTTATAATTAATAGTTTATATTCTGTCCCGAATTCTTTCATTGTTTTTTTGCAATGTAAAGCAGTTAATTATTCACTATCCGCAAATATGGTTTAGTTACTTTAGCTCATGACATAGGTCAAGAACACTATGACCTGAGAATGACATTTTTGTCAAGCGATGCAGATTTTTAGTTTGAAAATGACTCTTATGACTAGTGACACGTATGCATAGAGCAATCTACTTTCCCCCCTCCCTGTTTGTCTTCTATATAAGCAAATCTCATCAAATAAAGCATTGAGCACCTTTGAACACACAACTGCTCCCCGTGTATCATTTGATGCTCCCAGATATCTGAAAGACGGAAGGTGGTAGATCTATAGAAGAAGATATCGAGAGAATCTTGTAATATTTCCGTTCAGTTCTCATTTATCCAGGTCATGGTATACCTAGTACTAGATGGTTACATACAGTGGGACTAGTGGGGTAATGTTGAAGATGTTATCACCACTGATCCAAACAGGTTTCTCAGTTGTAATGAGTGTCAGGAACATAACCCAGCATTTAAGCTAGCCATACACTGTTACATTTTTTTTTCATTCAACTTGTGGGCCGAAGGAAAAAAAAAAACAAATATCAGATTCCTCCATCCATGTTGCTTAGCATAGATGAAGGATAGATGAAGGATATATATATATATCAGATTCCTTCATCTATGCTAAGCAACATGGATGGAGGAATCTGATATTTGTTGTTTTTTTTCCTTCGGCCCACAAGTTGAATGAACTTCGGCCCACAAGTTGAATATATATATATATATTTTATTTTTTTTTCCCTTTAGCCTGCAAGTTGAACGAAAAATATTCTGCTGAGCTGTTCTATTCCAACAGTGACATGTTGGTGTCAGAATGCCCGAACAGTGACAGCAGCTGTTCACCCAGTGTAGAAATGTTAAAACAGCATTATGTGTGGGTGACAGATTGTGCCAAAGGCCCCCACCCCTGATAAGGGATGGCACTTCCTGTTTAAGATGGCTTCTTTCACTTTTGCAAATTAGTTGTCCTCTCTTTTCAAAATGTGCACCTTGATGTCCTCAAAATAATTTTTTTTTAAAGAACTCCGGGAAAACAATTTATTAACCCTTGCAGTGGGGCTACCCTGGCACTGCAAGGGCTAACCGCTCATCTTGCCTAGGGACTAAAATAAAGAGTTACTCACCCGATCCTCTGCAGCGGTCTAAGATCCTGTAAATCATCAAGTTCTATACAGTGTCTAGAATGTAAGGACATACCTTTGCTGAAGTGGAGGAGTAGGCAGGTAGGAAGGAGTACTATTACAGCTGGCTGGCTCCAAGGATCGAAAGAGTAGAACTTTTGTATTTTAGTCCCTAGATAAAAATGAGCAGTTAACCCTTGCCGTGCAGAGGTAGCCCCACTGAAAAGGGTTAATTAAAATGTTTTTCCTGGAGTTGCTCTTTAAGCCATAGGACAACTTTCTACGTTAGGCCATGCGTTTGTGGTTATAAAGATTCCTCTTTAC